CTGGTTTAGCCCAAACCCAAAGCAACGGGAAAAAATAGTCAAAACAAAAAAAACGGAATCAGAACCCCTGCCGATAACATGTGGAGTTCCCCAAGGTAGTATTCTGGGTCCCTTATTATTCTTATGTTATGTCAATGATATGCCTATCAGTGTCAAGTGCAAACTCCTACTGTATGCAGATGACAGTGCTCTGTTAGTGACAGGTAAAGACCCACAAGATATTGCTAATGTTTTAACACTGGAACTGGAGTCCTTCAGCAAATAGTTAGTAGACAACAAACTATCATTACACCTAGGGAAAACTGAAGCCCTTCTCTTTGGCACGAAACATAACTGAAAAGGGGTAAATAATTTTAATGTTCAGTGTAATGGGGAGCCCATCACTTTGGTTTCATCAGTAAAATATCTGGGAATCCCCTTTGACCCATGCATGTCAGGAGAATTGATAGGGAACAGTGTAGTAAAGAAAGCGAATGCCAGACTGAAGTTCCTGTATAGACAAGCACAGTGTCTACCTACTGAGGCTCGCAGGACCCTATGTCTAGCCCTTATACAATGCCATATGGATTATGCTTGCTCTTCATGGTACTCTGTCTTGACAAAAAAACTGAAAGATAGACTGCAAATCACCCAGAACAAAATCGTAAGATTCATCCTGGGGCTGGGACCAAGAGAACATGTAGGCCAGGATGAATTACAGCAGTTGGATATGCTGAATGTTGAAGACAGAGTAAAACAACTGAATCTAAATCATGTTTATAAAATTGCTCACAAACAGTGTCCAGAATATCTTGCTGTCAATTTTGTCACGGTTGGGAACCAAAGCAATCATAGTACTAGGGGAGAGAGCACAACTTTGTAGTACCCACAGCCCAGTGGCCAGGCTTCAAACACCTTTTATTGTACAGCAATAAAGGAATGGAACAGACTACCCGCACATGTCAAAGCCAGTCATAGCATGAACTAGTTCAAGAAGATGCCAAAGGTGTCTGATGAATGTAGCTACAGAAAGGGAGGGGAATGATTTTCTATTTTTTAGCTAACATACGTGTAAATTTTACCTTATTCCTAGTAATGACCCTCGTATTGTAGATAGTCTTAATGACCCTCGTGTAGTAGATAGTCTTTTTAGTATGATAATAAGATGTTATCTTCATTGTAGAATAATAAGAAAATATTATAACCTTTATATTATAATAATAAGGTAAAAGGACCCCAATGGAAATAAGTCACTCTGTCTGACTTTTTTGGGTTATCCTAGGTTCTCTACACATATGCTGCTATGTATGATAATTCTATGTAACTGTATTTGTGTATACCTGAATAAACTTACTTACTTATTCTGGTTGTTACCTGAGAGACGATGACAGTGCCATCTCTGGGTCAGTTGTAAGAACCAGACTCTGACATATCTTGAAGTTTCTGGTGTGTACACTGTAGTGTTGTCAGCTGCTGTGATAAACAAGGTTCTTGATCACACTGCTAATTACTGCAAGTGAGTTAAGTAGTTTTGGTATATAAGTTTCAGTTCTTACAGTGGCTTTATGTAGAAATTAACCTAAGATAAGCAGGAGAGTCCATATACTGTTACTTGTTGCCTTCGAGGTCCTTGATGTTGCATATTTTTATAACTGTAAATTACTTTCTATGACAGATTATAATAAATGGGTAATAAATTGGTTAAATTTAGGCCATTTCTGAGCATTTGTGATTAAACAATGTGTTATTAATTCTTAGTACTGGAATGATTATTTTTTTTATCCCCTCTTAAAGAAAGTTCCTTGATGTTGTTGAGGGACCCTTGATCAAAGGACTTTGACTTATCCTCTCCTTCCTTGGATCGAACCAGATTGCTTCCTATTCCTTAGGTGCTGTTAAACCTAATGAATTAAGACATGTTCGTGGCTCAGTTGGTAGCGCCCCTAGCTCACATGTGAGGGTTCGGGATCAATCCCCGGCATGGGCGAAACATTGGGCGTCTTTCCTTACACCTGCTGCCCCTTGTTCACCTAGCAGTAAGTAGGTATCAGGGTATTAGTCAACTGTTGTGGGTTGCATCCTGGGGGGACAAGATTAAAGGACCCCAACAGAAATAAGACTCAGTTTCTGACAATGCACAAACTTTATTAATCGTGGCTAACCTTCCAGGTTAAAAATCCGAGCAAATCTAATTTTATCTTAATCTTGGTACTTGAATATCTTTATTACTGCAGCTTTTTGCCTTCACAGCAGGCCATTTCAGTTGAATACAAGCAGTATAACTAATTTTAAGGTGATTCCCTTACACAAACTGCAATATTGATTATCTCTAAAATACTTTTGCTATTTTCATTGTTGTATTCAACTGACAATGTCTCTTATATAAGCAGAAAGTTTTGGCAATAAAGCTACCCAGGTGTTGAACACAACTTATTCATCAACTTGTCAGTATTGTATACCCCAGAAATGTAATAATCTATGATCCCCTACAGAAGGGGTTGGCAAACTGCAGCCTGCGGCTGCATGTCATGCCCAGCAACTTCAAATATTTATAAATAATAAAGCTAATGAACCCTCTTGTAGTCACTTCAGTCACTTATTCATTCATTTAAATTTTATTCATTCATTTACATTTATTTATTACAGATTTTTTTTCTTGGGCCCTCAAAAAATGCGTAAAATATACAATGCGGCATCCTTAGTGAAAAAGGTTGGAGACCCCTGCCCTACAGGTTTAGCATTCCCCCCTTCTCAAATTAAAACAAGAATTTTTCCAGCCATTTTTCAGTCTTCATATCAGTGTTTAGAATAATATTGTTCTGTATATTTTTTTTTATACTTTTTAATTTTTTACTTTCCTGTCGTTGCATACCATAGCTTTAACAAGCACCCAGAGAAGGAGTTATCTCCAGACTACAAACTGAATTTAAAATCGAAATCATCTCACATCAACTTCAGAATGCAGTCAAGCATTGTTCAGGCGAGGGTTCTGGCATAATGCCGTGACGAAAATCAAAGGCCTACCATACAGGGGGTTCCTTTTTCGTCAGTGCATTATGCCGGGTAGCAGCATTAGCATGATGTCACAGCCTGCTGCCACACTTCACAATGACACCTCAGGCGCATTGGCTGCTTGGTGAGAGAAAGTGTGTTACTGCCACTTTTTGTCTTCATCCACCCCATCTTTTGTCCGGTGTTCCCTTTGGTTTTGGGGCTATACATGATTATGAGTAAAAGGAAGTCTTTAACACCTGAAACTATAGCTCAAATCATAGGGCTTCACAAAGCTGGGCACCAGACAAAAGAAATAGTGGAGATTGTTGGTGTGTGTGAACATTCAGTGAGGAAGTGCGTGCAGCGTTTCAAGGCTGGTGGCAGTGTCTAGTTGGAGAAGCTGCTTCTGACATGGTTGAGAGAGAAGCAGCTTGCAGGAGATACCAAATCAGTTATGTTCAGTGATTAAACGAAATAAATTGTATCAGTAATGTTCAGTGTGTAAGTACATGCAGTGGAACCTCTACTTGCGAGTGCATCCACGTGGGAGTTTTTCCAAATACGAGGAGTCGATGGGATGATTTTTTGCTTCCATATGCGAGCCAAATTTCCATAAGCAAGCACACTTCAAGGGAGGTTCCTTGACGCTGGTGAGGGGCTCTTGCTCTTGATCTAGGGAATTATATCTCATTTGTTAGCTGGGCTATCTTATTGAAACTTGGGCAATGTATGATGGAAAGATGCTTCTTAATGTACACCAAAAATGAAAGAAATCGGAGCATAAATAATGGAGTTCACTTCTCAGCAATTAGCCACCCCTTAGCGGTATTTTCGTATGGTTTTTATGGTTGTATTCTCGTTTTTTTTTGGACTCATATTTGATAGAATGGAAGATATATTACAGAAATAGATATGATTTTTGATGCTTTCACGACAAAAGTACTTGAAACTGAGACAACGAGGGAGGAAATGCTCGTTTCCTAGACTGTTTGTTCAAGAGGTAAAACTAATGATGTCACTGTCCATTCCAGCATGCAGTCGTGAATGGGTTGATTTAGTTATTACAATTTTAGCAATTAAGGCGTCACGTAAATCTTATAAACAAGTGGGACCCCGCATAACGATGGCCTCACTAGCGATTTTTCCGCTAACGCTTACTTTTTATCGCAAATTTTTGTCCGCGCTTACCGATTAAAAACCCGTCTCACCGATTTTCGTCCGAGACGCGTTCCAATGTGCTCACATTGTGCGCCCGTCCATTGTTTCCAAACCAGCCTCCGCTGTAAATCCAAGCATACACTCGGAATATTTTCGTATTTATTTATACAAGTGGTTTTCGGTGCCTGTTTCTGGAAAATAAGTGGGACATGGGCCCCAAGGACAAGCGTCTAGTGCAACCCTGTTGTTCTAAAAGGGTGAGAATTAGTATGGAAATTAAAGAAGAGATTTGAAGGGTTTGGGGCTAACCCTGAGAAAGCCTATGCCAGTTGTGGATCCATGGTGCCTACTTCAAAGATTAAGGAAAAGAGTGCACAGTGGGTTGAACTGCAAACCTTTATAGATGAAAATCACCCTGACACACTGTTGCAAGCCGTGCTGGTGACTATTTCAATGACAATGTTGTGGCCCATTTTAGACAAATCGTAAAGGAACGGGAGGTACAGAGCTCTATGGACAGATTTGTTGTGCGACAGGGGTCCATGACTCTCAAGCTGGTCCTAGTGGCATTAAAAAAAAGAAGGGAAGTAACCCCGGAAAGGACTGCTACTCAAGTCGTAATGGAAGGGGATTCCCCTTCTAAACAGTAAGAAGATAATGCTTCTCCCCTCCTCCCATCCCATCAATCATCACCAGATCTTCAATAAAAGTAAGTGTCATGTAATTGTGCATGCCTTTTTCAGTTTGTGTGTATTAAAATTAACATTTCATGTGGTAAAAAAAATTTTTTTTCATACTTTTGGGCGTCTTGCACGGATTAATTTTATTTCCATTATTTCTTATGGGGAAAATTCATTCGCATAACGATTATTTCGCATAACAATTATCCCTCTTGCACGGATTAAAATCGTTAACCGGGGGTCCACTGTATTTTTTGTATGAATAAAAATTACAATTTATTTATATTGTAATAATAATAATAATAATATGTATAATAATAATTATACATATATTAATAATTTTTTTATTTTTTTTATTATCACACTGGCCGATTCCCACCAAGGCAGGGTGGCCCGAAAAAGAAAAACTTTCATCATCATTCACTCCATCACTGTCTTGCCAGAAGGGTGCTTTACACTACAGTTTTTAAACTGCAACATTAACACCCCTCCTTCAGAGTGCAGGCCCGGTGGCCCGGTGGCCTGGTGGCTAAAGCTCCCGCTTCACACACGGAGGGCCGGGTTCGATTCCCGGCAGGTGGAAACATTTCGACACGTTTCCTTACACCTGTTGTCCTGTTCACCTAGCAGCAAATAGGTACCTGGGTGTTAGTCGACTGGTGTGGGTCGCATCCTGGGGGACAAGGGTTAAGGACCCCCAAGGAAAAAAGTTAAAACAGTCCCTTTTGATGATGCCTGACTTTCTTTGGGGTTTTCCCGGGTGGCTAACCCTCCCGGGGGTTAAAAATCCGAACGAAAATTTTTTTTTTTCTTTTCTTTTTACTTTTCCCCTCTTTCCCGGACTCAAATCCGGGCCCGCCGGTTTTTCCCCGAATCCCTTCATTAAAAGTTACTTTGCTCCAAAACTCCACAGCACGTCAAGTATTAAAAACCCCTTTGTCTCCATTCTTCCTATCAAACACGCTCATGCCCTGCCGCTGGAAGTCCAAGCCCCCCGCCAACCAAAAAAAACCCCTTTTCCTTTTACCCCCCCCCCTTTCCAAAACCTTTTTTCCCGGCCAAAAACCCCCACCCCGCCTTCCTTCCCCTACAAATGAACACTCTTTTAAGTCATTTCCCTTTCTCCCCTCCCCTTTTCTCTACGTTCCCCACCTCAAAACCCTTCCTCAGCCCCCTGGCAACGTTTTGGGGAATCCCGCACCTCCTCCTTAATCCAAACTAAAGAATTCTCTGCATTTTTTTCCCCACCACACATTTCCCCCACATGACTTTTCTAAATGCCTCCAGCCTTCTCCTTTGCTGCAAAAATTCATCACCCCGCTTCACATTAAAACCCCTATAAGACGTTGGTTAAAAAAATATACTTATACAATTTCCCCCCTTTTTCCTCCAAAAGGGCAAAGTTCTTTGCTCCACAGACTCCTAAGTGACCACTCACTCTTTTTCCTCATCTTCATGATTCCCTCATTTTTCAGCCCCCTCCCTGCAGTCCACCCCCCAAATATGAATACTTTCACCTCCCCCATACTCTCTCCCCCCAATTGATATTAAATTTTTTCACACCTAATCTTTTGTTACCCTCATAACCTTACTCTTTCCTGTATTCCCCTTAATTTTTTCTTTTGCCACCCTACCAAATTCATCCCCAATCCTGCAATTTTTCAGAATCTCCCAAGAGCCAGTG